TCCCTCTGCACAACAGAGATATCCCCTCCAGGCAGCAACAGCAGGAGATATTTATCCAGAGCTGAGTGATTTGCAATTAACTTGGGGGCAATCAACAGTCTGGCCCCAAGTGCTGAGCCCTGTCTCTGCCCCAGCCTGTACCTGGTGGAAGGTGATGATGAGAGCCGACCACACGAAGATGCCGGAGATGGCCTGTGCTGCTGTAGTGGTCAGGAAAAGCTGCTGGCTGTCCTGGGAGTCGTTGTGGGCAACCATGAGCAGGGCAAGGGCTGGCGATGGGGAGGGTGAAGCCAGCCTGGGTGCTGTGCTGGGCCCCAGGGTGCTGGGCTCCATGGAAGAGGGCAAGGCACGTGTGGCATTACTCATCTGCAGGGAGGGAGAGGCAGGACTGAGGTGAGCTGGTGAGGGGGAAGGTCCTAGCACATTTCCCAGCCCACACAGTGTGGGCAAACCTCCCGTGAGGTTTATCTTCTCCATAGGTTTTTTCCAGCGTGTTCCTCATCCAAACCAGCCTATTTATGATGGTTGGAAATGCAAACATCCTTCAAGAGCAGGAGGTGTATATGCAAACATGGCCCCAGAACACATGCTTCTCCTTCCCAGCCTTCCTTCTTGCTTCCTTAGGGGTCTTTATCCCACCTGTAATGGAAAACCTGCCTACGTTTGTGTCGCTGTGAGTTCACTCATGTTGCTCAGGACCCTTTTCCATCATGAATCAGATATTTAAGGGTTAAACTCATCCCTCACCTATGATAACAAGTCCCTTATCTACTCACCATCTGGACACTTATGTCCTCCTCCTTGGGAGCCCAGAAAATACAAGAATACCTGTGATCCCCTCCAAAATTTAGCTCTTCTCATCATGCATTGCCTGATGGAGGCAAAGTCCAAGGCTGCCCAAGAACATTTGACATCACCCAGGTTCTTTGGCAAAAAAAAGGCTTGGCCATGTTGGGATCATGGGAGTCTTGGTGTGCCATCAATGCCAACTCCAAGACTCGAAGGGCAGCCAGTGGCCCCTCCTGCACCAAACTGAGCACCAGAGAGCAAGCCTGCCATGCTGCAGCAGAGCTGCTGCCCTTTGGGGATGCTGCAGTGCTCCGGCATCTCCCCAGCACGTCTGTCCTCCTCGAAGCGTTGCCCCAAGGCATGGAGCATTCCCAGCACAGAGCGCGGCTGGGGCATAAGGGCACTGTGTAGCCTGCGGCTCCAGACAGCAAGGACCAGCCTAATAATACACTCTTATTTATAGGGCAGCTTCATATCTCAAGGCCAACAGATGCTCAAACTGCCACGTTTGGCCTCTGCTAATCTACAGAAAGCTGCTTCTTCCCAAGTACCACAACAGTGGTTTATAAAACCCCCCACCAAAACCAATAACCTGTGAGCAGAGCTCTAACTATAGAGACGCTTCTCGGTGCATTCATAAACAAAGGTTTTAGCTGCTGGGTAACAACTGCCTGCAGATAAAACCATAAGCATGAACTGGTGAGAAGCAAGGAAGTATCTGCCGCAGATCAGAGTGGTAGGGACTGGCCTTGGTCCATTTAAACACAGCAAACAAACCAAAGCGAGAGCTCGCCCTGTGGCTGCCTCTGCTGCCCTCTGCCCGAACCCCAGCCTCACAGGAGAGGAAACTCGGCTGGTGTCAGATCAACAGCCCTAAAAATACCTTCCCCCCCCCTCCGCCTGGCAGGAGCTGCCTGTAAGCGGAGATGCCCGGGGCAGCAGCGAGCTGGCGAGGAACCAGGAGCTCACCCGCAGTACCTGCGAGCGGGGAAGCACAGCCGGAGGTGGATGCGTGGATGGATGGAAGCAGAGCGGATGGAGGAGGCAGCGGGATTCGGGTCTTTTCCTCCCTGTACCTGTCCCGCTGCCCTGCCCCTGCCAGCAGGAAGAAGGGAGAGCCGGGCAGGGACCTAGTCTTTGCTCAGACCATGACGTTGCCAGACCTGTCTTGTAAACATTAACAGGAGGAGGGAGGTGAGAGCTCAGCTGTGCCCTGCTCCCCAATAGTCCTCACTCTTCCTGAGGGCTGCCCTGCTGCTAGCTGGGGCCACAGGCTGGGTTTGGGCATGGACCTCATAGAGTCATAGAATCACAGACTGGTTAGGGTTGGAAATGACCTTAAGATCATGCAGTTCCAGCCCCCTGCCATGGGCAGGGGCACCTCACACTAAACCATGGCACCCAAGGCTCTGTCCAGCCTGGCCTTGAACACTACCAGGGATGGAGCATTCACAACCTCCCTGGGCAACACATTCCAGCGCCTCACCACCCTTACAGTAAAGAACTTCTTCCTTATATCCAGCCTGAACTTCCCCTGTTTAAACCTGAACCCTCTGCCCAAACATCACAATAGGGAAGGATCCAGTTCACTTCCCAGAACACAGTGGAGAGCCATGCTTATTGCTAGACCCATTTACCTTGTTTTTAACCCATCACTGTGCCACAGGTGCCCGGCCCAAGACATCCCAACCCCTATTAGCTTTCCCAGGCATGGCGGTAGGAGCACAGTGGCTCCAGCAGCCGGTCCCTGGCAGGCTCCCCGACATTGTCACACTCTGAACGTGGCGGAGCAAGTCATTAAACACAAAAGCCTCGGTGCCGCTTGGAGACGGGGCTCCCAGCTCGGCAGGTAATTAGATCCCGGCCATGCAAGGTAGCTGGGCAATTCAATGCAGTTAGAGGGACATTTGCTTCCAAAACAAAGGCGGCAAGGAGACAGAGAACAATATTAGCAGCAAAACTCAGCTTCTCAGCGCCAGTGCCACATCCAGTCTGGGTGTTTTCGGCCGCTTTGCAGGTACCTGCCATGTCTACCTGTTACCCTCACTCCATCATGGAGTATTTGAGCTGCTGAGCACGGAGCAGAAGATAAACTGAGCAGTGAAACCTGCTTTGGGGGCTTTTTCTTTGCCCCATCTACAGGCTGCCAGAGCATCACATCCCTCCCATTTCCCGAAGCACACAGGACAAATCCCACCTTGTCCCCGTGAGGCTGGGGCAGTCAGAAAGGAAAGGCAAACCCCTAGTCGCCCCCCCACAGTGCCTGTGCACTGTTGGCTGTGTGCCACAGTAAGGGGGGAGAGATCCCTAAACCCCATCCTGGGGGGTGGGATCACCCACATCCAGGCTCAGCCCCACCACAGGAGACATGCCCTTCCTCCTGATTGCGTTCAGAAAGCACCAGGGCATGGGGGTTATCTCCCTGCCCAGCCTCTCCATAGCACCCCCAAGGCCACCCAGGAGGAAGGACCTATAGCACATAGCTATAAATTGAGCCAGGGAAGCATCAATCTCTCCTCAAGGCGATCCCAAAGGAGTGGGTGCTCCCCCCCCACAGGGCTTTTGCCATGCTGGTCCCATGGATGGCTGGGGCACTCTCTGCTCTGTGCCAGGTTGCCCCCCGCTGCTGCTCAGCCCTCCCAGGACCCCACTCACCCTGAGGGGCTGCTCCAGGAGCTGGCCTGGCTGCCGGGCACCTGCACCCGCATCCCCTGCTCCCTCCTCCAGCGGCTCGGTGGAGACTCCTCCTCCGGGCACCTTCCCAGCCCTGCCCGCTGTCAGCTCACCCTGCCTGCACCCCGGAGCCGGAGCGGCAGGTCGGAAAAGCCACCCAACTTACCTTTCCAGTCTGCCACGCTCGGCACCCAACCCGGAAAGCAAACACGGACGTAAAGCCATGGCGCAGGCTGACACCCGCACACGTCCTGCGGGGCAAAGGCAGGTTGTATTGCAGTTGGGAGTTAATCCTCACCTAGAGGAAAGCGATGGCAGTGACAGACCGGTGCTTGCTTTTTGAGGCAGGCCTTCCCTTTGGTTTACTGCAGAGTAGAGAGGAGCAAAGTTAAGGACCTGTTGCCCATGGTCTAATTTATCAGCCCTGGAAAGGCAGCAAGATCTGTGTGTCCTGTTTCCAACACCAAATCGGTGCTTTTAGGTAAAGCACCCATAGGACCAGCACAGCAAGAGCCCTGTGTGTGCATCACCCACTCCTCTGGACAGGCTTTAAGGAGAGATGGATGCTGTCCTGCCTCAATTTATAGCTATGTGCTATAGGTCCTTCCTCCTTGGTGGTTTTGAGGGTGGTACGGAGAGGGTGGGCAGGGAAATAACCCCCATGCCCTGGCATTATCTGAAAGTCAGTTTTTAGCTGAAAATGTCCTTTCTTGCCACCCAGTGCAGACCTGGTAGCACACTGAGACAGGAAACAAAGGTGGTTAACTCGTGGTTGGCTTTTAGGTAGCACCACTCAGGTTTTCAGGGCACAGCGGTGGTTTGCCACCGTATCACCACGGTGGAAGATGCAATTTACATTCAATTTGCTAATAAATGTCTGGTTTGCACACATTGCTGGAGCTGTGGGCACCGTAAGAGGGCCAGGATTTGGGCAATACACTGAATTTAATGTCGGGAAAGAACCTCTACTAACAAACCGGCATCGTCATTAACAAATTCCACATGCCTCTCTCAGCCTTGCTAGACCAATAAAAAAGCATAAATGAGGGAGAATGTGGAGCTCTGACAGATGCAAATCTTTGATTCTTGGAAGCACAGTTTGGAGAATTATTTTTAGATGAAATTTCTTGTGAGGGGCAGCTGCAAGCCTGCAGTGCCTGAATGTACTTTTAAAGTTTCATTTCTCATAATCCCTTCACTGCTGCAAATGACTTCAGAGAAAAGAGTCCTTTCAAAAGCCACTTTCTGCTTTTCTACTTGTAGGGGATTTTTTTAGCAACAGAAATATCCCAGCAGCTGGATCTGCATGGGGCAGGCAGAGGCTCTGGGCTGGTTCTGCCCAACCAACAGGTCCTAATGCAGCACAGGCTTTGCCTGCTCAGAATCCAAGCCCTGGCCTCTATTCTGCTCTTCCAATAACTGACAGAAGGGTGTAACAGCTCACTTAACAATTTACTACTTGGTGTTGTTACAAGAAGAGGTAAAAACAAATGTGTTTTCAAGCAAAGCCTGGCTATTAAGCATTGCATCAACTCATATGACTTCATTGAACGCTTTTATTTCAACAGACTTGGGAGAAGCACCCATGTGTAACCCCCCAAAACACTTTTGTCCCCATGTCTCCCATGACAGATGCTTCAGGAGAGGGACAGCTCATTGCAAGTGGACCCACTGAGGTATGTGCTGCCTCTTTGATGTGCTGGTACCACGTAATGCATAAGCAGCTCTTATTTATCTCCTTCTCACCACTAAATTGGGCTCCTGTCTTCCACCCTGATGTCAGCTTTCATGAAATTTGCAGAGCATAATTATCTGCCTCTCTTTAAAACCAGAGCGAAAGTGGAAAATGGATTCCGACTGCATCAGGAAAGGGACTGACACAAGGACAAAAGCAGTCGTACAGGACTCATTTCCTTAAAAACAAGCAAGAAAACCTTTCCTATTATGCAACTGCTGTTGATTTGTTACAGGCTTGTATTTCAACTGAAGCAATTTTCACAGAGCAAAAAAGAAAACAGGTAAAATTAGATTTGTCAATGTTTCTTTTTATTCGCCCTGCACTGGGTGTTCCCCCTCTGTGGTGCAGCGTAGCTCCAGAGCTTGGCATCCATCGCTCCTCAGGATACAAACGCAAGAGCCACGCCACTTCCCAAATATACAGCCCACCCAGTGCGATTAAAATAACACTTCTCTTGTATGTTGAGACAATTGCCGTCGTCTCATCACTGACTGTATGGACTGCAAACCTGTCACAGTAACAAAACCCACAAATGTTCTACACAGTAGAGAAAAATTCATGAAATTCCTCAGTTCGTCCAAAACCAGACCAAAGACATTCCATCATTTTCATTTCTTGTCCTTTTAAATAGGTGGTGATGAGTCACAGACTCAAGATCATTTCCTTGAATCCAGATGGCACAACTTCACCACACTTGGCAACTTCGGATCACTTCCCGTAGAGCTTGTATTCCTTCCATGGTCTTGTCCTTTAAAGCCATGGCGAGAAGAACGGGTTTGTTCCCAGCTTCCTGAGACACAAATGCCACCAGGTTTTTGGCACAAACATGAACGAGGGGCTGAAAAGCAAAGGCAGACAGATGTACACTATCACAGCTGGGAGAACTCTCCTGCATGAGCTGGGAGAGTCCTGCAATGACATGGAACGTGTTGAGAACCTGTTGACACATCCCTGGCAGTGTTCAAGGCCAGGCTGAACGGCGCTTGGAGCAAACTAACCTAGTGGAAGGTGTCACTGCCCGTGGCAGAGGGGTGGAACTGGATGAGCTTTAAGGTCCCTTCCAACCCAAACCAGTTTGGGATTCTACACTTCTATGATGCTGGACCCAGACTGAGCGTGCAGTTTGTTGGGAGATTCCAACATGACTGGGAACAGACACGCAGTCTGGCTGGTCAGCACAGCCAAGGTATGCACCCAGCTGGCTTAAAAGGGAAGAGTTTGGACACAGGAGTGACATCCACCCAAACCACCCTGAAACAACTGAGCTGGAGCTGCACTTTAATCGAGTTCTGCACCAGCCTGGATATCTTCAGAAGCTGGTATAGAGAAGCTTTCCTGTCACTAATCCTCCCACCCTAACCATCAATTTCCTTCCACTAATCCTCCCACCTACCAAATATCAAATTATATGAAATGCCATGGATCAAAATGCCTCTGCTTCCACCATAACCAGAGTTCTGAAGAAGTCTCCAAGTGCAGGTTTTGTTTAAAACCTTGTTGCTGATGAAGGTATGTTAACATACAAGCTTGGGAAAAAAACTTACTTTTGCAGCTCCTAAAGACCCCAAAATAGTGGTTTTTTAGTCTTTTACAGCATGTCTAAAAGACGTGTTGGTTTTGATTTGAATAGAATAATAAAAACCAGAACTAAGTAGTGATGCTGAAGGAGGGAAGAAGAGGCGTATTATCTTCTCAATGAGGTTTCTTTAACAAGAAAAAACCAGGAACAGAATAGCACAGACTATTTCAGTTGGAAGGGACCTACAACAATCATCTACTACAAACCCACAGCCAATTCAGGGCTGACCAAAAGTTACAGGATGTTGTTAAGGGCACTGTCCAAATGCCTCCTAAACACTGACAGTCTTAAGGCATCGACCACCTCTCCAGGAAGCCTGTTGCACTCTTTGACCATCCTCTTGGTAAAGAAGTGCTTCCTAATGTCCAGTCTGAACCTTCACTGCTGCGGCTTTGACCCATTCAACTTGTCTAGGTTTTATTTACACCCACAGTCATGTATTTTATCAGAAGGATGAGCTTGGTTTCAGCTACCAGTGTGGTATGGAAGTGTGCACCATCCCAAGTGAGGTTGTTAATGGGGACAAGCAGGAAGACAGCAAACCAGTGAAAGCCTTTCCTTAAAGTCTGATCAATAAAGTTGGCAAAATGATTTAGAAATATGATGTTACAAAGAGAACAAAGGCACTTCCCATCTACAATAAAACACAAAACCAGCTTGGGGATGGAGGGGGTCAGAATTAGCAGACATCATACCAGGGAAAGAAAAGCACCTCCCAAACAGAGAAGGGAGTCTATCACTGAAGAACAAGAACTCCGTAAGGGGAAGCTACAGGTAGAATCAAGAACTTGTGTTGCTAGAGATTTTCCAGTTAAGGTGAGAAAGTAATATTTGATAGCTCCAACTCTGATGGAAAGCCTCATATTGTAGCGCTGTAACTTTGTGCTTTAATGGCCGACTAGCTGACGCTTTGTGAAATACATTTTCTTCTGCGCTCTCTCCAGCTTTGTGAAAGGGTCGATAAAAACTCATTTTGTTGAAGCAAAACAAATTAAACTTTCTCAAGGGAAGGCGCTGGCAGGCACAGCTGGGAGAGGGCAACTAAAGTCCATGATGTGGCTGGCACAGATTGGGGGGGGGGGGGGGATGTCAAAAAAAGAAGGAAAACAACCTCACTGGGAACGGAAACCCAAAAAAGGCTATCAAAGGGTGCATGTTTGATCTTGTAACCCTTAGATCAATAGGAGCTTTATCAAACCGGCCATAAACACAGCAAAGCAACCCTTGGAGAAGAAACAACAGCTCCCCAAACCACTCCGTTCAACTTCTGTTATGTCAAGGCGCAGAGGAGCACCACATGCTTCTGATGAACCCCTCGGAAGAGACTCTTCAGTTCAAACACCAGTGAACTGCTGTGATCCACCAACTTGCACAGCCCCACTTACGACATTCCCCCCTTCTTATCCCTGCCGCCTGCATATCCGCTCTCACCTCGTCCTTGCCCAGCAGCACCTTTGTGGTGAGCGAGGGCCTGCCCACGTTGTCACCCACTGTGTTGGGGTCCACATAGACGATTGTGCCCATCTTGCCGTACTGCGTGACTACCACGAGGACGGAGTTGGAGAACGCTGTGCACACCACCTCTGTCGGCACCCCGCGTACCACCTCCTCTCGCTGCTTGGACATCACGATGGGGTTCGCTGCCATGGCTGATAAGAAAGAACAAAGCAGCAATGGTAATAATAAAACAACATTAAAAACACGGGCTATAAAAAGCCTGAATCCTTCCTTTGAAATACCCAGTGTTAACAGAGCACAAAAGCATCTGGAGGTGTGTGTTGGTGCAGGCACAGCGATCAGCACCCCACACCCCTGATGGGGATGGGAAACCTAACTGCCCCGCCGCAGCCGTCCGCACAACGAGCTCATCATGCTTTAACAGCAGCCGCACCTACGGAGCCATGCCCTCCCTTCCCTCGCAGCCTCCCAGCCGCTGGCACCGAAGGGGCGACCCCCGAGCCCCGCTTTCCACCCGTGCGCCCCGCAGGCCGCGGCGCTTCCCCCTCCCGCCGGGCCGAGTCGAGCCGAGCCTGCCGGGAGGCCTCTACCGCCCCTACCCGCACCGGGCCCCGCCGTGCCGCCGCTCTCCGCCCAGGCCCGCCCCACCGCGGCGGAAGCGGCGCCTTTCCCCTCCCTCCTCCGGCCGGCGGCGCGGGGCGATGGCGGAAGGTGATGGCGATAGCGATGGCGGCGGTGCGGGCCGGCCGCGGCGCTTCCCTCCCCTCAGCGCCGCGCCGCCATTACCCGCCGCCATTACCCCCCCTTCTTCTCAGGGACGTCGCCCCTTCCGCCGGCCTCATTCCGATGCCGTTTTCCCGTTTTTCACCCCCGTTTTCTCCGCTCCCACCCACCGGGTGTTGTTCAGCCCCCCCCCCCCCCCGAGCGTGCGTTCCCATCAAACTAAGGGTGGTCTGGGACCTTGGGAGCAGCCGTGTCCTCATCCCTGTCCTCCCCTTGTCACAGCTGGTGAGATAAGAGGCACGTTTGGCACCAAACCACTTCACACATGGTCCAGCTGCTTCTTGGGCGACATGTGGGGCTTGAGGGCACGATGGCAGCTGCCCCGTGGGGCTGTGATGGGAGATGAGGACCTCCGTGGGAAGAGCGCAAACCTAGATGCTCATGTCCCATGAGCAGTACGTATAAACATCTCTTTCTGTTGATTGCATACAGGTAATGCAGTGCTGTTTTTCCCGTTTGAAATACTCATGAATAGTAACTCTGAGCAGTGTTTTATACAAAGCTCTTTCTCAGAGGTTTGCAACCTTCCAAACTAACAATTGCTGTCTCTAAAACAGGCTCCAGTCCTTACTTTCTGTGTGTTATCTCTCCCTACCGTCATTCCCACCGCGCACAAACTATCCCTGCTGTGGCTGCAGCAATAGACCTGACTTGTGAATTGTTCAGGTAACGCCTCTTAGGGATTTAATCTTCGTTTGTTTTGCATTAGAAGTTGCAACAAAACTTGGCTACGGGGAGAGGATGTAAACTTTGTGCTGAGAATCCCTTAAGGCACCGTTAGAGAGCAGCAGAGGTCCATGGAAAGGCTTTTAATGCGCCAGGTTATACTTGTGGTTAATCCAGAGCCTCGATGCCTCTTCGGCGCTCCTTGCAATCTGGTAAATAGTCTGTTTTCCAGAGCTGCGAGGAAACAACATTCCTCTTCCTTGCTTGCCACAGTCACTCGAGGCTTTGCCTGTTCCATGGAGATAATGGCAGCTCTTGCCAGCAAAGCCTCCTGACTCATAAAGAAGTTTATTCCTGCTCTGCTTTCTCCAGAGAATAGTTTTACTCCAGGGAACACAAAGGACCAGATTCTTCCTGCCATCCTTGCCAGACTCCTGTCTTATTTTTACACAATAAAGAGAGTCCGCTCTAGTTCAGATTTACGTGGAAACACTGCACTTTGCTGGTTTGGATTGGTTTGGGACAAAAGAGTTGTCTGCAACAGTTTCAATCGTTTGGCTACCTCATTTTGGCATGGAGCTGAGGTGGGACATTGCAAACTCGAGAAGCAGGTGGCAGGAGGTGACGGGGCACTGAGTCTTCATCAGTGAAAGTAAATACATTAAAAAAGAAATGAAAGAATGGAGGAGAAGGCTCTGTGTGACCGAGGCAGGGGATGGAGCTTTGGGAATACACACCATGGCAGATCATGGGACCTTTCCTGAGGGGTCCCTGTCTGGCTGCCACCTGCTTCCCAGCGTTTTCTGGCTTAGAAGAAAGTGTATCTGTGCTTACACTTCCATTATCTATAGCAGTTTCCCTCCAAAGATCCCTAATCACATTGCAAGCATTACTGCAAACTCTCTTTAGACATAACAGTATTAATATACTGCATTTTATGATCTGATGGAAATAAACAATCGGGACAGGCAGCAGTTCAGAGTCATCCAGTCCTTGGCTGGAGATTCTGCAGGATTTCAGGATGCTTTCTTTGCTGCCGAAGACACATAAGTCATGCATGTCTCTCTCTCAGTTACAGAGAAAATCAATGACTCTGCAGCCCCATACTTTGACAACAAAACCTACCCATAGTATTGCAGCTTTATACCTTTATTATTATTCATTTGAGCGGTTTCTTACCACTCTTTAAACTGCTTAAGTGCCTCTGTGTGTGTAGACTGGAAGGAGGCTGCTTTTTATCGTAAACTTTGCATTTTTTTTCCAAGCTGGTTTTATAAGAGCAAACGTGGAAGATCCACAGAGCATCCGAAATGTTTCCCACTTCCTTTGAAAACTAGACACACAGTGTTTGAGGACATCCATTAATAATCCTTGCTCTTGGGAGCACCTAGCTATCAAAGTGCCGGGTTGGTTTATTAGTTTACAGGTTATTACTTCTCTAGTTTAGATTTCTCTCTTGTATCTTTTATGATGCAGAATATAGACTGTGAGCTGGAACCTCAGGTGCAGCTGCGCTCAGGGCTGCGCAGCCAAGGAGGCAGGAAAGGAATTAGTTTGCTCCCTGATGCGGGAGCTGCTTGGGAATTATTCTGACCCTTGTTATAAATTGGGTAAGTGAAGCAGAGCAGCCTTTAAGTGCATGCTTTTGGCCAGACAATATCAGGGATGCTCCTCTCCCTCTTATTGCTGTTACTGCAAGGTCAGGGGGATGTGGGTGGTGTGGGGTTGTGTGTGTACTCTCTCCATGGGGTCGTGTCAAAGGAGTAGGAGGGATGGGAGAAATCCACCTCCTGGTGCTTTGAAGCAGTTTCCACTGCATTTAAATAGAGCCTGGCAGAAGCAGAGTTCAGAAAATGCTGCTGAATTGAGGCCCTTGCAGAAGGCATAGAGGAGCACATCTGGGGCTGTTCTCAAAGACTAGGTTTAACCCCAGAAGTCCCTGCCTGACTCTCTCTGCAGTTAGTGGAGAGAGGCTTTGTCACTGCTTGGTGCAAAGTGGCAGCACAGCTTTGAACCTGGCTATCCGCAGTCAGGAGTTAAACCTGCTGTGGCTCAAGCTGGCTGTTTTATCTCCTGGTTTCTAGATTTCAGGCTGATGTAGGTGTGGGCCTGCCAGACATCACCAAAGAGAGACAGACAGACAGACAGAAATGGGGCATCAGGTTTGCAGGGAAGCCTGAGGTTAAGATTTGAGCAGCTGAGGAGTTTGATGTGTTCAGGGTTAGGTGATAGCTGAACAGCATTCGCAGAGTTAAAGCTCTCAGGCTGTAATTCCACGTGATCATACCTTGAAGGAAGATGAGGGCATTCTGGCTCTTCTGTACTTTGGTCGCTTTTCTGTGCTCCCTAAGAGAACAACTAGCATCATTTCTTATTCTGAGAGACATGTCTAAGAGGTTTGCTTTGTTCTGAAGTTGTCCATATGGCTCTTATTGTATGGGCCATCTCTTACTTCATTTGTTCCATGAATAAGAGGAAGGCTAAACCGATCAATTAGGCATTGCAGAACCACTCTAAGCTATTTAACTGTTGATTAAACACTTCCCCCCCCCCCCCCCAAGAGTAGAATTCAGCTGGAAAAAAGAGTCTTTTAAGAAAAGATAATGCTCAGAAACCACATTATTCCCTTTCTGTGCGAGCTGCGTATGTGAAATGGATGGATGTCTTTGCATGCTGGGGACTATCAGGTCATGCTGTTTTCTTCTTTCAGGTCATGCTTGTTTTCTTGCGTTTGCAACTTAGTAAGGAAACATCATTCTTTGTGTAAACAGGAGCTGCCCACATATGAGCACTAGCATGTTTTTTTTCTGTGAAAGGGTAGGATTTAAACCGTGGCAGTAAGCCAGCACGCTCCGGCTGGGCTTGGAAGCATCTAGGTAGCAATTTGACTGGAGCCCTTTGGAAGTTACTGTTTTTTTAAGTCAGATTTAGCAACGTATAAATAGAGGAGTACTCCAGGAGCCCTTGTAGGACTTTGTTATGCTGTGTCATTTCTGTTTCCTGAGCTGCTGGGCAGGCTGAAGAAGGAGGACTCCAGATCCATGGGGCTGGGATGAGAAAGGAGCTCCCTTGGTGCTGGCAGAGTTTTACAAGGGGGCTACTGTTGAGGTTGCAGAGCCTGACAAAAGTCAGATAAGTCACATCTACAGAAGAAAGTTGCTGAAAACAGTTTCTTGGGTTCCTGGTCTCGCGGAGCAGTAGTTTTCATATATTCAGTACTTTTAAAACCATCAGATCTTACATTTCTTTGCAAAAGATACCCAGGAATTATTTCAGCAGCCACTGAAATGAAAATGACACTCTTGAAATATGTGGAATTTATCTCCAGAGCAGCTTCAGACTACCTAAGAGAGCTGAAAGAGCTCCAGGTACCTGAAAGAGTCTGGATTACATCATGCAGTCAAGCTGGTGCTGCCTGATAATAACTTTTATACCCAATATTTATAATGAAATATCAGATGTCTGTACTGGACACTGTAGGCAGGGTATATGGAGCAGGCAGAGTCATTATGAAGCCAGGTTGACTTTAAGTACTGTTTACATAATTTTCACTTGTCAAATAACAGCCCTACATAGATCTTGGCTATGACAGCGCCTGTGGATGGTATCATCCATCAACAGATCCACCCTGTAAACAGCAGAAGCTTTGCATTACTGCAATGGCTGAAGAAATTATCTCCATGGATCAGTAAAGACAGCAGTAATTGCCATAAAGCTCACTGTAGTTTATGCAAGAGTTTTTCAGTTGCTTGTGGTGGACTGTCAGATGAAAGACACCATGCAAATGGAGTGGATTGTAAAAGTAATTGTGGCATAGCTCGTAAGTACAAAACTTGTACCACTCTGTTCCTAAGAAGTGTGACAGCACAGAAAATAATGACGTAGCTCTTGCAAGAGTATTAGTATGATACTAATAGTTTAGTCAGTTGTATAAATCAGTTAATTGCAACAGCAAATTAAATAGCGTTATTGTCTAGAATCCACCCAGAGTTAAAATAATATATCTTGATGAGACAAATGCCTTGTGCTCTGCCAGTAATAAATTAGCTCCTCTTTCAAGTGAGAAAACAATTAAAAACTTGGTTGAAAAGGGCATATTTTCTCCGTGGCCATTGATCCCTGAAACGCTGGAAATTAAAAGTGTTTCTAATCGTTGTTCATTGTTACACAGTTGAAAGAGGAAAAATCCATTGTCTCATGTTCAAGACAGTTATGAAATTGCATATTGGGAATAGTTGAAAATGTAAGAGTCATCTAACCGAATGGTTTCAACTTTGACAATGTATCATCATTTGCAGTTTATAATGCTGCCGTTAAGTTTGGGAGATATCAGTCAGTGCAGTGCAA